GCCTCTGTTTCCCATCACCTGGGGCCCCAGCTGACCAGCACAACTGCATCCTTCTAGTGCACATTTCATCATCCCTAAGGTCACACAACACCGAGCCTCCTGTGCAGACACTGCAGCACAGAAACCTGGGGGCTGTGGAGGACAGAGGCAGGGGATGCTTTTTGCCCTCACCTCTGGGCCTGAGACAAGGCCAACAAGACCAATCTTTAGCACATGCACAGAAATGATGGGATGCAGGGATTTTTCAGGCAGTGACCAATATTGGCTTCTCCAGCCTTCTAGCCAAATCCCAGGCTCTGCCCCCAACAGAAATTTCCTAAGAGGCAAAATTGGTGTCTCTGATTTCCTAAGGAAGCCACCATCTGGAATTACTGGCTGCTGGCTGCTTAGACGGTACACAGTCCAGAATGTGACCAGAAGTTCCTCTCAGCTGAATACTTTCTGGACCTTTCCTCCCCTCAGTGACCTGAACATTCAAGAAGCAGGTGGAGAGAACCCCAAAGAATTTTCTGCAGGATCCCAGGAAAGCTCGGGACTACAGACACAAAGCTGCTGGGAACCAGTCTGGTTTTCTTTCTCACAAGGGAGGGATGCTTGGTAATGGCTTTGCCTTAACAGTATCCTTCACCTGCATCTGCTGGAGCTGGAATCTTGCCCCCAACACTGCCAGACATGAACAACTGACCTCCTAACTCTGAACTTCAGTTTTCTGTTTATAGAAAGCTGAGACAGATTCTCAGTACCTGTACGGTCTTCCAAACTGGCTGACTTCACAACAGTTTCCTGTTGGCCAGGGCCAAGAGAAGGAGACAGTGGAGCCAGCATCTGGGGTCACAGGCAAAGTGGTGGAAACTAAGTCACAAACCAGGGATCCTAGAACTCAACCAGGCCCTAGAAAGTTGGGCTCCCCTCCTGGTCCAAATGCTGCTATTCACTTCATTTCACAGGTTGGGGAAAGTCTGGGAAGAAATAGGGTGGACTTTGAGAGTTGGGAATCTGACCCCTCTCCAAAGCATTTAACACATGCCCCGCAAAACAACTGAGTGCTGAATCTCAAGAGCGTTCAAAAACCAACTTACAGTAGACGGACGTGTCTCACCCTGTATCCTGGTTCAGAGTTGCCCCAAGCAAACCTCAGGAGCTGCAAAGCCCACCCAGATTTACAGCAGACAAGGGTGCAGCCCTGGGGACATGTTCCAGCTCAGACTGGGTCCTATCTGGAAGAGCCTCTGGAAGAGCCATCACAGGAGGAAGTGACAAATTGGCCATTACTTCAGCCATCCTGTCACCAGCACATCAGCTGTCTATCCGACTATGTCCCTACAAGAACTTAGCAGATGAGACTAAGACGTGAGACTGCCTGGCCAACACAGAGCAGACTTTCAATAATTGCTTATTTTCCTCTCTTCCCCATGTGGCCTCACTTGCAAGAGGTGAGAAAGCCAAATGCCCAGAGAGGGCAAGGGCAGGAGGGTGTGGGGCCACAGAGAGTGGCCAGGGAAAGCCCTAGGGAGAGGCTTTGCTGGAGGGGAACCGAGGAGGAGAGGAGCCAGGAACACAAGGAGAATTCAAGGGGAAAGAAAAGTCCTTCTCAGCTCAGTGGGGACCACAAAAGGGCAGGTCCTGGTAATGTTCATGGCTGTGCTGTGTTGACCCAAAGACTTTGGAGACAGCATTTGAAACACAGAAACTATTGTGGGCTGAGTGACTGTATTACCCCAAGTTCAGGTGTTGACCAGCTGACAGTGTTAGAAGGAGGTCGGGCTCTGGGAGGGACAAGGACACCAGCAGAGCCCTCCTGAGGGGAAATGTGCCCTCTTAAAGGAGACCTAAGAACTAGTTCACTTGCTCTCTCTGCCGTGTATGCCTCCCAGAGCCAGGCCTCAGTCTGGCCCATGCTGCTGGAACCCTGACTTCTAAGCTTCTAGAGCTACAAAAAAAAATCAAATGTCTTTTCTTTATACATCATGATCTACAGCAGTGGTTCTCAACCTTCCTAATGCTGCACCCCTTTAACACAGTTCCTCATGCTGTTGTGACCCCCCAACCATACAATCATTTTCGTTGCTATTTCATCACTGTAACTTTGCTACTCTTGTGAATCATAATGCAAATATCTGTGTTTTTCAATGGTCTAAGGCGACCCCTATGAAAGGGTTGTTTGACCCCTAAAGGGGTCGCCACCCACAGATTGTGAGTCATTGGTCTACTCTCAATATAGTTTATAGCTGTCCCAAAGGAGTAAGGCAGGATTATTCCAAACAAAAACACATTTCCATCTACAAAAAATTCAGAAATTCTAGCAAAACTGCCCATTTGCTACTATCAACTGGCTTGATAGGCCACTGGCCCTTTGTGGGCCAAGCCTCCTAATCTTTCTGAAACCCAACCCACCTCTACCCAGACCAATCTTAGGGCACCTCAGCGTCAATTCTGTCATCACCATCTCAGTAATGGAGAATTCTGTCTTTTACATATGCCTGTCTCGAAGCAGGAAAATGACAAATCAAAGGCACGTTTGTACCTAGGGAAGCAGAGAGTGCCTACACTGCTCAATTTCCTCACCTTTGCCTGCCGCTAGGACAGTGGTTCTCAACCTGTGGGCCTTGACCCCTATGGTAAACCTCTGTCGCCAAAAATATATATATAATGATTAACAACAGTAGAAAAATTACAGTCGTGGAGTAGCAATGAAAATAATTTTATGGTTTGGGGGGTCTCCACAAAATCGGGGACCGTATTAAAGGGTCGCGGCATTACGAAGGTTGAGAGCCACCGCTCTAAAAGTACCCCAGCACGCTGTGGGTCCCAATAGGTCTTGCTGTCCACGCTCACTCCCTACCTCATCCTGAACTCCCAGGAAGAATGGATATACAGGAGGACACTGTAGGCTTCCAGGCAGGCCTCTGCAAGGTGCAAAGAAGAGTCCCTGTCTGGTGAGCACAGTGAGATTCCTGCCACCTCTGCAGGACCCTGCCCATCCCAGATCCCCCAACGCAATGGCATATCAAAGGAATCCAGTTCCTAAAAAGGCAGGCACAGGATAGCCTCTGGGGGTGCACGGCCCAGCCAGAAGGGATTAGTGAAGGGGTGTGGGAGGGAGAACAGGAAGAGGGCAACAGGGAAGTGGACAGGTGTATATAAACAGCTGTCCCAGTTCAGCAGTCCCCTACCAGCCCTGCCCTCTGCCTTAGGACATCACCAAGGTGGATGATGCCTAAGACACAGAGAGCGCAAACCTCAGCTGACCCTGCTCGCCCACTGTTGGTGGGCATCTACCCTTCTGGTCCCAAAGTTTAGCTTTTGCCCACCCCACCCTACCTCCAGCCACTGCAGGCAAAGCTCCATAGCAGAGTCCCAGCTCTATTTACTAAAGAGAGAGAACTCAGTTGAGAGCTACAAGCGAGAACCCCTGAGAACTACGAGAAAGAAATGTGCAAATCCCTCCCACGACAGAGATGGCGGGGAGCGAGCAGAATGTGCATTTGCTAGAAGCGGCTGTTTGCCGCTCAACTGACCCTCACTACAGCTGATAGCCTTTTACAGACAGATGGATGCGGTTTGCTCCTTTGTCGGGATCGGGCCCCGTGGATAATGCCAAGCTCCTCTGGGACCTTGAGTTGGCTAAGCAGCCCATCTCTGTGCAGGTTGCACGCCCCTTATCTGAAATGTCTGAGACCAGAAACGTTTCTGATCTGGACATTTTTTTTTTAGATATGGGAATATCTGAATGTCCATATTACAATACCTTGGGATTGAGCCAGAAGTCTAAACACAAAGTTAGTGAGGTCTCATGTGCACTTGCACACTGAGCGTGAAGGTAATCTCGCACAATAATTTCAGCGCCTCTGCCTTTTGCCAACCTTCTGTCATGTGAGGTCAGTGTGGAATTTTCCACGTGTTGCATCACCTCTGGATTCAAGTTTGTGGCTCTGGAGCATTCTTTACCTCACAATTTTGAATTTTGAATTGGGGTGCTTGGCCTGCAGTGTTCCAGCACAGCCTGCTGTGTCCTATGAATATGGCTGAACTCAGTAAGTGGACACATGAGGGTGCGCGCGTGCGTGCGTGTGTGTGTGTGTGTGTGTGTGTGTGTGTGTGTGTGTGTGTTTACTTCAACACCAGCCGTAGACGGACCCCTTGGAGGCCAATGATATATGAAACCACAACACAAACAGAACAAGCAGCAGATATCCTTGGAGGCCTCCCCGACTGTCTATTCCTTGGGAAAAACCTATAGCGTACAGCCACGCGCCCACCCACCCCCACCTCACGTGACAAGCCCTGAGGACAACACTCACACCAGCCTCCCAGTTCCACTACCAGGCCCACTCTAGTTTCCCGCCTGAGCCTGCACAGCTGCTGGACTGACTAAACATCTCCAGCAGGGTTTGGTTTTGTTTTTACAGCCTGGAATTGAAAGACACTAGATAAGCCCTTACTTCTGGAGACAGTTCCCCCAGAAATCCCCAAAGAATAGCCCTGTAAAGGCCTTTGCTTCGGGCCGGACCAAGCAACTCCGGTAAATTCCTCCCCTCCCATAATGCTAGCCACTGACAAGACATCCAAAGTCCTATGGATTCAGATCTCTGTTCTGAGGAATCTCTGAGCAATCTCTGAGGAGCGCAAATAAGCAAGATGTACAGATGAACGGTCCTGGAAGCTGAAGCAGCCGCCCCTCCCAGACCACCCCATCAGCACCTTAAACTGTAACCAGACTGTGGAAACATGGCTCCTTCTGGGAGCGCTGCCTCTAAGAAAAGCCCTCAACTACTTGGGATGAAGCGTGGTGACATTCATCTACATTCTCAGGCTGTGCAAAATCAAACAGGACAGCAACTGAGGAAGTGGACGGTGACTGTGATCCTGGCTGTGACCACAAAAGCAGAAGGTTGCCCAGCAGAGACAGCAGGGAGGCCAGACAGTCTCCACCCTCCCCACCATCCCCCACCCTCTCCACCATCCCCACCCTGTGCACCAGGCCAGCCGGCAAATCTTAC